ACATTATGAATGCTTATTGACTAATTATACAATCAACTTTTCTTAGGCTCATCTTTTGAGATGGAGAGGGAGGAATCGGATATCTCTTATGTTTAAACCAAGTAGGATAGTTTGATATTGGTACCTTCTGAAGGGGATTTCTTCTTTCTGTGCCCCTTGTCAACCCTCTCCACTATTTTCATAAGCTGAGAGGCAAGCCAAAGTCATTTTAAAAACCAAGCAATATTAGAATATATTTTCCCTCAGGCTTATTCAGTAAGAGGTCAGCTTATTAACAGTGGCAAAATACCATGAAGTGACTTAAAACTATGAGTATGGGAAACTAATGGAAAACCATTCTTTTTGGTAGAAGTTACAGTTCTTGGCTTCAGGGAGATTAGAGAAAAGTGACTTCTATTTGTTTACCTGTTGCTTGTGTCTACTACATATAACCAAATATGTCTTGTCAGAGAGGGAAAAATGTATTCTTGAAAGTACCATTGAAGAATCATATTTTTATTACAGAGATGCCTCTATCATGGGGGATGATAATGAGGCATGCTGTACCAAAATGAGTAAGCTAATGTGTAAGAATAATTTCAAAATTAAGCTGAATCTTAAATCTATTGTTCTCAGTATGTGTGTGTATGTGTGGGGGGGAGGATTCATCAGGGCATCCTGATCAATTGATTTCTCCCAAGCCTTGTTAATACAATCACAGAAAGTAAGGGTCATATAACAAAATAAGATGTCAATGTGTTAAAGAAAGTGGAAAGACATGTTTATAGCCAATTACTCTTTTACAATGTGAAGAAGTTTTTCCTTGTAAAATTGTAGGGGCAGCTTGCCATTGACTGGCCAAAGATTGGCCAGGTCATTGACGGGGCATAAAAGCAAGCTTGACAGCTTTGGAATAGTTAAGGCAGTAAGAGCTTTCAGGAGTGTGACCCTTGGTGTTCTAGATGAGAGCCACTTATGTAGGAAGAATTCAACTCTTGAGAGGAATTTTTCTTTCCCTCTTGAGCTGGAGGAGATTTCTCTCACCATATTGTCCATGATGCAGTAAAGCTACTTACCAAGTTAGAGACTATACCCAGGGTGCTGTGGGGAGGGAGAAGGGCAAGGAGGGAGAAACAGAGACAGAGAGAGAAGAGGAGGAGGAAGAAAGCAGAGGAAATGGGAGAAGGGGAGGAGAGAGAGAAAGAAAGAGTGAAAGAAGGGGGGGAGGGAGAGAAGAAGAAGAAGAAGAAGAAGAAGAAGAAGAAGAAGAAGAAGAAG